TTCAAGTATTATCTTTTGATGTATCAACTTAAACGTCTTAAGTGTGGTCCACATCGTAAATGAGTAAGTGTATTAAATTTTTTGACATAAATTCCAGGAATAAGAACTCTCCTCCGAGAATGCTCTGCCTCCCGAGAGTCATTGCAACCTGGGGACTGTTGGAGGGAGCGCCCCTGTGACTTCTCTGATGGAACAGAGAGGGAGCGAGATCTTGCTGGTAATTAGAGCTACAGGGAGAGAAACAGGACCACTCCAGGGTGAACCCGAGCTTCTCAGCTCCTAGCTCGGCTCCTAGCTCGGCTCCTAGCTCGGCTCCTAGCTCGGCTCCTAGCTTCCCATGCCCGGGGAGGAGTTCTAGGAGCTCACGATAGAATGCAGCAGGTGCTGAAGGAGCTAAGGTAGGGACTGTGGTGTTGAGAAGCACCTTTGGAAAATGCGCTCTTCAAAAGGACCGGTGACATACCAGAAGCTAACAGAAGTGCATAAGCAACATTCTTACTAGATTCTTACTGGGCTCCTTGCAGCGACTGTAATAATTGCACATGCAAGACACTACAACTTCTAGTTAAATTGCGTCTTAGGGCATGCATCTGCTCTTTGGGAGGTTTTTTGTTTGTTTGTTTTTTAAGTGGAAAGAAATATTATCTATGTACACTGCCAGTGAGAGGGAACAGAAAGAGAAGGAAATGGAGATTTGCGTCCCCCTTCTGTCTTAGGTTTCAAACACAGACGTCTCTGAACCAGCTCTACCACATGGGACAACTGAGAACAGCAGCCCGGTGCCCAAGACGACTGACTAGTTACGCTTACAGACCAGCGTAGCTGCTTTATTTATGTATTTTAAAATACATTTTCTTTCAGTGACTCTCCATGATTTTAACCAGGTGAGACTTGGAATCTTTTATAGAGATAGAGTCTTGTTTTCGGAAGAACTTATAAAAACTCAATTCTCCTACTATCATCGGTCAGCAAGCTACAGCCCATGGGCCAAATCCAGCCCAATGAATATTTGTGTAAATAAAGTTTTATTGGCACACCAGCCATAACCATTCACGTACGTATTATCTATGGGTGCTCGCATGCTCCGATGGCAGAGCAGAACAGCTGTGACAGCAACCGTGGGGCCCAAGGTACTTACTACCTTACTAAAGCCTCTTACAGGAAAGGTAGTTGGCCTCCGACTTAAGATATAATGAATAAAATGTCAGCATCCACAGAAGTGTACTTGGATGAAAAATATTAGCTCCAGAAATATTAGAAGTTTTAGACTTCTTGAATCATAGTATCTTCTCAGGAATTGTACACATGACTCAAGTGTGACTGTAGGGCTGGGAAGGGAGGGTGCTGAACCCAGGTGACTGGGCAGAGGTAACGCCTGTGTTCATTTTTTAAGTGGATCTTAAGTCTGTCAGACAGAAGTTGTCAAATTCATCCACATTCAGATTTGATTTTGGTGAATGGTATTCCTGGCTTTTAACTCAATTTCCCGACACTACATCCTTTACTGTAACTTCAGGCACAGTCTGACTTCTGGTCCGGTCTGACAGAGACTTCTGCTCCTTGGGCCTACCTACAAATCAGCATCCTGTTCTAAAATCTCAAGGACACCGACAGGGTCTACTAAATACCCCTCTGTTATCATTTCTTTAAAATACAAATTCTGTTGGAACATCCAATCTTCCCTGCAACACAGATATATGGACTTAAGACACTTCACACCGCGTTGTCTTTATTCAGCGTTGCCGTTAAATTCTGGAAGTCAGGTTTGCTCGCTGTGTTCTAACGAGTGTCCTGCATTGCTTCTGGAAAAGCAGCTTCGTGCGCTGACTTACCTCAGGGCACCAGGGAAAGGGAGATTTAGAAATGAAACTATAGGAACAGGGTAACCGGGAAATAGTAACTCTAAATAAGAAATGGATTCATTAAAAAAAAAAAAAAAACCATAAAAAAAGGAAAAAAAAAAGCAGCATCACCTGGTGAGCTTTCTTGCTTTAGAAATTTGGATGTGGCAGTGGTTGAGTGAATTTCACTGTGGCCAATTATGTGAATCACAAAGAACCACCTGCTGGATGTTTTCTTTTGGTGCAGCCTTGTTTCAACACCGACTTCTAAGCATGCCCTGCGGGGTGGGTTTCAGGGGCGCCTCCCTTTCTCTCACTCATGCATTTGTTCATCGGCTGTACGTGACTATCGCCATGTTGTATAATGTAGCCGTGTTAGTAATTAGGGTTAGTTTTCATTTTATCTTATTTCATTCAAAATGGATGTGAAACTTACTGGCACACCTAGGCTGCAGCCCCATGCAAGCAAGCAAAAAGCAAAATATCGAAAATGGAAGATAAAGGTAAACACTGGCTAGCAGGCAGCTAAACTCACCCTTTTGTACAGCCTATGGTCCACCAGGGGGCTTTAGACAGTAAAACAATACCAAAGAGCTATTAGCACGTGAGGGTCACAACAGAAACCTTATACATAGCTTTATTTCAACAACAACAGAAAAAGAGTATAAAGTGCTTCCTTTTTTGGAAAGAAAGGAGAGTGGTGATGGGGTATGTGAGACGAGCAGGCAGGACATTCACCGATTTGCCGTGAAGTCTAAAACTGTGGGGGTTGTATGACTTAGTGAATTCCTTAAGAAATGGGACACCTCTTATTGATTCTGGAAGCCATTATCTACCTACCTTTCCTGAGAAGGTGTAGATGAGGCTTTCTATTTTCATGCTTCTCAGGGCCAGGACACATGACAGTTTCTCTTAAAATAATATTCAGTACCCCAGAATGGAGCCAGGGCTACATTCATCGTAGGGAAAAGAGGAGCTCAGACTTTAGGTTCTATTGATCTTGAGGATCCAGGGATGGGAAGAGACTTATGGATCTGACACAGTGGGCATACAGAGGTCAATAAAATTTGCCTGCACATTCCTCCTAACCTCTGAACTGTTCCAGGGCAAGTAAGGAAAAGAGCCAGTCGGGGGTCTTTATTTCATCCCAAACAATGAACGGGAATTCAGAGTCCATAATCTGATGTCCTCCTCATAACAAACCTTCTTGCCACCCTCAAGAGCTTGCTACTCGTTCAAATATGAACCTGAGAAAGGTAATCACGAGCTTCTTCTCCACTGGTTTACAGAAAGAGAGCTTTGAAAACAAGAGTGGCCCAGTCTCTTGGCCAAGACTCCTTGGCCCAGTCTACTGTGGATGGGGGGCGGAGGGGGCAGCCTTTTATGCACGTATGTTTTGTTTAAGTAGCTAACCCGCTCACCTCACCCAGTGTAAACACAAGGCACAGTGTTGGATGAGAAAGAGAAGAAAAGGAGTGTGGGACTTTATGTCCGTTTGCTCATAACGACCAAGGTTGCACTACCTACACGTGTTTGCAGAGCCTGGGGAGAAGACCGGCAGAAACAACAAGGAAAATGCGACCTGTGGACATTCAGGTTTGTTCAGAGTGGCCTAAAAAAGAGCAACGTACAGCTAATTTTCTTGAAGATAAAATCAGCCGGGAAAGCATTACACGCAGTCTCAGCAGGGCTGGGTCGAGCCTTCCTGTGTTTTTCATTTTGCAGGTCGGAAAGGAGCAAGGAAGGAGGGAGTGGGAGCACATGTGAGAGCCTCCAGAGAAGGGTCTAGGGCAGTCCCAGAGTTTTCACCGAATGGAGAGAATCAACTTCCCTATTTGGTTACAAGTACTGTCCTGCTGGCAGAGGTGGGACAGAGTGGGAGCGAAGAGAGATGGGCCCTTGGGAAGGCTAGAACTGATGTGATTATGTCACAGGTGCCTCATATTTTCATCTGGATTTCCTAACAAGACTTCCTAGCTGAGTGTCGGTCCTGAAACCTCGCTGGCCGGCTAATTACAGGGAATGACCTGTCGCTGCGTGGTAGAGAGCAGGTGGGCTGCTGAGGCCTAGGGAGTGACATTAGCTTCTTCCAAACAGCATTCTAGTTAGAGAATATCAGATATATCCTAAAGAATGTTCTTTTTGTTTGTATCACTGTTCATGTGTGGCTCTGTGCCCCTTTTCTTAACATTATAGAAAAGAATTCTTTTGCTAACAGAAGTCAAAGTACAAATGGCCAGCCAACACCTATTAAGTCTCAAAGCCCAAAGAGTTTCCAAGTTAGCAAGCAGACGGGTTTAGGAGCGAGAAAAACTGAAGTAAAAGGGAACGTCTGTTGGACCTGAATTGAATCTGGACCCTTGGGCTCGGGCTCTAGGTACAGTGAAACAGGAAGAGGAAAGGAGACATCAAAGAGCTCGCTCCAGAGCTGGGCTCTGGGAACCGCACAGGGAAGCAATGACTCCGCACAGGGTCACGAAACACAGCTTGGAAGGCCGCAGGGACGGATGTCAGACCCGAGTGCTAACCTACTCAGGAAAACCAAACGATCTCACCAGCTCCCCCCAAATCTAAGGGAAGAGCCTAGTGTTCACAAAGGAAGCTCGAATTTGAGGAAACAAAGAGAAACCCTTTCAGCTGGCTCCGTGGGACGCTGCCCCATCTCCAGGGAAGGCCCCGGCCGGAAGCAAATGCACGCGCGTCCGCGCAGACGGCTGCCCCTTCCCGCCGCGTCCAGCAGAGGGCACCCGCGCTCAGCAGGAGCCTGGCTAGGGTGCGCTTTTCTAACGCTTCCAGAAGGGAGCTCTGCTGGCGCTCCCGGGCTCCCGGGGAGGACTCAGGGCTGGGAGTGAGGAGCTGCTGCGTGTGGCATACGAATAAGAGGCTGAAGAGAAACGGGAATTAGAAGCTGGTCCCACTCAGCTGTACTAAGAAAGTCACTGGCGTGAGTCTCCGCTACTTGCCACGCGGTCTGAGCCAGGCCCCCCGTTCCTGAAGCAGCAACTCGGGCCCTAGTTAGGTCTGCTCTCCTACTGCGACTGGGACCTTCCCCCCGAGGAACGTCGGGGCCGCGCTGCGGCCGGTCATGCGTGGTCGGGAGGGTTAGGGCTGGGCTCTGGCTCTCGACGAGCAAACTGTCTAGATGACGAGTAGGGTTACCTGTGGCGGCAGCGGCGGAGGAACCTCATTATTTTTCGAGCAGCTTGGTCCTGCTTTTTGGTTAACAAACTGCTCCTGAAAAAGCCGGAACATGACTGTCACGAGGAGGTCCCGTGAAGCTTGACGCGCACACGCCGAACACAGGTGAGCGGCGACAGAGGCCCCTAATCAAACAGTTCACGGAGCAAACCCGACAGCACGGGCGGAGAAGGAAGGAGGGGTGGGGCCCCCGCCCATGGCCGTGATGGGTACAGGGCCCACGTGCGACATACGGGGACCCCCAGCTGTCCTTTCCCAACCCTTCCTGAGCTTGTTTGGTGGAAGAAGGCTTTCCAGCCTTAGACAGGCCTTCTCGGGGTCGAAGCTGACTTGCCCGAGTCTGATACTCTGCTGAACGTCTATGAGCGTGTCTCACTGCGTTCCGAGTCCCTGTCACGCTCTCAGATGGCCCAGCCGGCTCTAACTATCCTTCCAAGGGCTCGCGTGCAATGACGCTACAATTACGACTCCCCAGTGGAGCGCCCGCTCTGAGCAGGAACTTGGGTCCCGCCAGATTCCCACCCCAGCTGAAGTCGGTGGGAACACCAAAATGACCCAGGGTTGGGGGGTGCAGATTAGAGAGAAGGAACGAGAAGGAGCTGAGCACCGAGGGACCGACAGCACGGGCATCACCACACGCAGGCACAGCACCTAGTCCCGCCACAGGCGAGTCACCCCCGACGTCGGGGCAGGGCCATTCTCCCCACGATGCCAAGGCTCTCTTGCCTAGACAGTTTCCCCCCAGGGAGAGGTCAACCCACCTGAGTTTCTGTTGCACGATGACGGCTGTTCGGCGAGCCTGCCGTCTCTTGCCACATTTCTTATAACTCCGGTAATACTTCTGGATCAGCACAGCAGCACGTCGGCTCTGCTGGAATTTTTTTTGTTCGTAGTAACTTCGGAATTTACTCTGGATTAGGATGGCAGCCTGTGTCATCTTTTTATAAAGTGCATACTGCAGGGAAACAAGAACGAGCACAACAGTAACAACAGGAGCCACACAAGTCCGTGTCCTCTGAGTGTGCCAGGGAAGGGGGGAGAGAAACAGCTTTTTCTTTTTTCATTTTTCCCCCCCTTGATCATCATAGTCTCTGTTTTGGGCTCAGTCATCAAAGAGGAAAACTAGGCACACTGTCACCTACCTTCCCCAAATGCAAAATGTTAGTTTAAGGGTTGCCTGCAGACCATGTACTGCTTTTAATGTGCTTTTCCCAAAAATATCAAACATTTTTCCCTTCTTGAAAAAAAATTTTTTTAGACAGCAATACGCGTAGACATTCAGGAATAGTAAAAATGTATTTAGAAAGTACAACTTAAATGTTCAAGATTAATATTTACTCTCCAATTTTGAAGCATTTTAAAATAACCTTCCTTATGCGCCCCAATCGTCACCACACACACGCCCACTCAGAGCAGCCGGCAGCCGCTTCCTAACTACGGTTCCATAGGACACGTTTCCGAGTTGCAAGGTCCCAAATACAAGGCTTATCATGAAACGCTGACACCTTTGAGACATTTAACCTGCAGAACGATGAGCGCTCATCAGACTGACACAGGGTGAAGCCATGAAAGCGGGCCAAGTGTCGCAGGCCCGGGGCCAGCTCGGGACCTGGCGCCAGCAGCCCTGTGGCCGGCCTGCGGCAGCACTGCTCGGGGGAGAGGACGGCACGGGAGAAGGAGTTCTCTTCCACTTCTGTCTCTAGGCACTAACGAACACAGAGCCCTCCACATTTAAAGAAATGCCATGTCCGAACTACTACTGAAATGGAATAGGACTCCGGGGACAAGAAGTCACAAGGAAGCACCTGGCTTGCAAGAAGGCAACTTACCATCCCGGGGAAAACTACTCCTGAGAAAACGCCTGTGCCTAAGTGCATCTCTGCCTGGGGAAGCTGGAGTGAGGAGAGGGAGCGGACTCCCCGGAATGTTCAAGACACAAGACCCTCGCACAAGAATCCTCTTTAGTCTCGTCTGACCTGCTTTCCATTTTCACTTGCCCCCAAATCTTTGAAGACAGCGCAGTCTCCTACAGGGCTCCTGTGGTTCTCCTCCCCTTGGCCGGTGCGTACCGCACGCTCAGAAATTACCGGGCCAGGCCCAGCAGGAGCGAGGGAGCTGCACTAAGTAGCTGGCTGGGCTCAAGGGAATTGGCTTGGATGGATTCTTTAGACTGACATGGCCAAGAAAATGTCTGATGACTGTTAATGCCAAAACCCACTCCAGCAGAGTAACCGTATGGGCCCCAGAGATGCGCTGTGGTTAGGCACCCGGTGAGGGGAGGACGCCTGCTTCCTGACCCTGCCGTCTTAATGGCCCCTTCTTATAGCTGGTGATGGGTGTGAAGTTTGTGACTCTGGTGGAATGGTTTGTGAGGGGACTTGGGTGTCATTACCTTCAAGGCTATCCATGTCAGCTTGGGGAGAAACAGAAAATACAAGATTAATGTTAGATTTCTGAATAGAAGGAAATTAAAAACCAGAACCAATAAAACTCCCAACTGGAAAAAAAAAAAAAAACCAAAAGGCAATCTGGCTACATTAATGCCTTCCATCTTCCAAAATACTTGTCTTATACTTGTAAGTATTTCAAAAAATCATGCCTTCTGTTTTCCTGGTTGGAGACAACACTTCTTTGGGACGGGATTTTAAAAACCAAAACCAAAACCAAGACTCGTGCTTTGGAATAAACACCTGTTGTGACCACAGACTGGGAGCCTCGTGTGTCTCACTTGTGCTAACGGGAGGACGGAGCTAGGTACCGTGGTGCCAGCGTTTACACAATAAACCTTCATTTTCTGGGATCATGAACTCAATGGGTTAGAAGTCGAAGACTCCTCCCAGCCCACCCCCTTTCATTAGCAGGGCTTCAGCCGAGAGAAACTCAAGGACATGGCAACCCGTGTGAGAAATCAAAGCGAGCCCTGCCTCGTAACAGGAGAACATAATACCACGCTTCCACAGGACCGCTACCCGTCTCAGCATGTGTTATTCCTTTAAGTAAAAAAGTTTAAAACCTACCTAGAGCACCGTCTGCTGAAAGGTTCTAGAATCTACTAAAAGGCCTGAACTTCATCATATGGGCCAGTCAAAACTCAAGTAGACAAGTTTTCACATTTTCTAACCACCCAGGTGGTTTGGAAAATCTAATCTTGACTTCATTTCCGAGCCTCAGCTCTTCATGGTAAAGGGGACATAAACTTGTTTATTGCCAGTAATCGTAAGGAGCAGATGTGATGAGATGATGTGGCTATAAGGTACGGTACCTCCTCGGGGCCCCGTGCACTTTAGTTCCCTTTCCCACGTGGTGGCAGATAGGTAGCCTCACAGGGTGTTCTGGAAACTGTCATACTGCGTGAAAGAACACTTAGGTGCCCTTCCTGCATCTCTTAACTAAGGAATGCAAAAGCCGTATAAGATGTTCTGGGCTTCTTAAGATTTTCAGAGAGTTTTCCAAGTCTTCATTTGAAAACGGATGGGAAGAAGCTGAAAGGAGAGTGGCTCGAGAGTGGATCATTTATATAGCTTAAGGTCAAAGATAACCGCCATTATTTCTCTCCTCTGATCACCACATCAGACTCCCTGGAGTCCTTCAATTACTCCAGGTACAATTACTGGAACACAGAGCCTCATTTCAGACACAAATAACTTTCTCTGTGTCGGACCAGCATCTCTGGTGGTCATGATGCCAAAAGGCCAAGAGTCTGAACAGAAATTATTTTGTGACCTCACTTTAATAGCAGATGGGATTTTGGTTCATTTTTTGCCCCCCACTCTGGAACATTTCCCTCTGGTGTTTGGTTAATGCAATCCAAAGCCTGTCTTTGAATCAGGTGCTGGATGTAGCGCTCTCTGGCCACACTACACGCTAGAGTCCTGTTGCTGTTTGGACAAGGCGTACTTCCTACTGTGACCCAAAGCTGTGGTTTACCTGTTTGTATTTTCTGTAACAACGCTGAATGACAGCGGCGGCTACTTCTTGCTGCTCCCGCAAGGGTCGGCCCTGAAGGGTAAAGTGAAAGAAAAATCCAGTTCAGTGTAAGAATTAACGATTTGGTATAAGAAATGTCAACTTTCTTCAGACTTGAGTAGAATTACTACTCATCTATATAACTTCTCTGAGGTCCCCATGTTTGCGAAAATACAGTAGTAATTAATTACAAGTAGAAATTAGGATAAACGAACTTACAGAATAAATCTGATTCTTCCTTCTAAATAGAACTATGATATTTGGATGTTAGGAGGTCTAGAAATGTTCATTTTGCAAGTATTTAACAAATCACATTTTGTGTTACTTGCCCTTATATGCTGCGAGATTTCCATCATCTCTCCTAACAACCCCAACTACTCTGACTTTGGGATTTGATGAGTACTGGCTTTTAACACCTTCCTGGGGTGGTCAAAGACTCCTCTGAGAATCTGTGGAAGGCCACAGACCCTCTCCCACCACAGATGCACACACAAGCTTTAGCACAAGATTTCAGGAGTTCATGGGCTGCCTACAGTCAGTCCCAGTCCCTTAAGAACCCCTGCTTTAGGTTATCAATTCCTTGTGGAAGAGGTATCAACTCCCTCTATACTAACTAAATACTAAATATCTGTCATCATTACCAAGAATAAGTTGACATGGTGTTAACTACACTCTACTGGTTAATTTCCCTAAAGCTCCTGAAAATTATTACTAAAATTTTATGCGGCAGGATAATTCCAAATAACAATTCTACAGACTCAGAAAAAAAAAAAGTGAGGGGCATAAGTTCTAGTTAGGATGATCCTGACTTCCATCTGTGGTCCCCGATCTTACCAATGTTGCGTCAGGACTCTGTTCTACTTTACCTTGTATTTCCGGAAAGCGGTCTGGACAAGCCTGGCGGCTTCATAGAGCTCTCTCTGCTCGTGATCAGAAAGAGTCAGCTGAGCAAATTCATTCTCCACCTTCTCACTGGTAGACGCACTCAGGAATTCTGACCAGTCTGCTGCTGAGGGAAGGCTGGGTTTCTCAAAAGCTATTTCACTGACTGGGGAGCCAACAGGGCTCAAGCTGGTATTAGAAGAAGGGGTGAGAGGCTCGTTATATACACTTCTGAAACAAGAGGAGACACAAGGGAGAGAGACAGATTATTGATCAGCACAATCCCCATCACATACTGCTGAGTAAGGAGACAAGGGCCACTGCGCACTATTACGAACGCGCCTTCGTTCAGTCCTGTCAGCTGCTATTCCATACTTTAACTGTCCTTCAGGTCGCAAGTTCCTCCTAAGTGCCTATCACGAGTTTAGCGCTATGCTAAATACTAAAGCCACCGAAGATGCCGTCCGGCCCTCAGGAAGCTTCAGATGAACTGGAGGGGGGCATCATGGGACATGACCTCACAAGTGCTACAAGGAGAGAAAAGTCATGGAAGAGGCGAGGACGTGAGTAAGGATCTAAAAGTGGTGAAGGAACTTGCCCCAGCATTTCCTTCCTTCCTTCATGAGGTCTCCTATTACATAGCATTCATCAGCTCTAATTAGCCTCCCACACCTCCCGCTGAGCCTGGACATTTGTGCCACTCAGTGGCCCACGGACTTCCGCTGACCTGATCTGGGTAGCGCTTGGCAGACGGTCGACATCGGCTAGGTAACTGGCCAGCCAGCTCATGGTACTGCTGATGGTGGCAGTGTCTGGTCTTTCCAATGCCGAGGGCTCCGTGGGCACAAAACTCTCCTGTTTAATTCGGTCAGGTGTGGCTTCAATGATGTGCTCTGCCAAGGTCATCATGTTCACCTGGAATCCAGAGTTCACAAAACACTCAGGTTAAGAGGAAACCTTAGGAGTTATCCAGCCCCTCCCCCCTCCCCACCTACCCTGGGAAAGAAAAATGAAGCGAGGGCGGCCTTCCACCTCAATCCAGTGCAGCCCAGTATTACTGTAAGGTTTTATACAATTCAGCCAAATACACTGAGACCTGATTCTCTCCTAATTGTGGTCTGGCCAAATACCTTTATACACAAGTCTTAATAGAACTTCTGCCTTGTGCCTACTCTCTGCTCTCAGCTCGGATCAGCCATTTAATGATACTGTGACTGCGCAGCATTTCAGCAAGTTGTCAGGTTACCATGGTGACGCTACAGGGTACCTAAAGGAAGGCCACTGTCCCTGCCACCTTGGCCTTGCCCAGAGACCCCCTGTCCTGTAGAGGGCAGCAATGAGCCCATCGGAGACGCCAGCTCCCAGCTGGCGGGAACCAGTCAGATAATCCTCTGCTGGACCCCCCACCCTCCTGTGCACGGAGGGGAGGATACGTGACCCGCTTCTGGACAAAGAGACACTACAGACATCTGCTACGGGGTCTGGGGAGAAGCTTTTTTAAAAAAATTTGTTTTAAAAGATTTTATTTATTTGTCAGAGCGAGAACAAGCAAGCCAGGGGAGCGGCAGGGAGAGGGAGAAGCCGGCTCCCCGCAGAGCAGGGAGTCTGACGCAGGGCTGGATCCTGGGAGCCCAAGATCATGACCTGAGCTGGAGGTGGACTCCCCAACCGACTGAGCCACCAGGCATCCCTGGAAAGCTTTGGCTTTCCTGCCGAACAGTATCGATGCCCTTGGCTCGTCCCCTCTTCTTCCTGTCTTGGCTCCCAACAAGCGCCAGCCCCCACTCTGTGACCGTACAGCAACAAGAATCAAGAGGAGTTGTCGCCAGAAAGAACTAAAAGCTCAGGGGAAAGTCTGGGCCCTGTTGGCATCACTGAGCCAGTGAACCGCTGCACCTGCTGTCACGTGAGAAAAATGAATCGTTTGTTACTAACGCACAGCAGTGAGGCTGCTCACACCTGCAGCCCCAAACACATGCCCAGCAGAGAAGCGGACTCCGCGGACTTCAGCAGCCTTAGAGATACGGCCTCGGTTTTCTAAAGATTTCCTTGCATGTCTCTCTTGACAAGAGAAATGGAAATAATAGCCGTTTAAGTTTCTAAGTGAAAGTATCCTGAAAGGATCCATACAAAGGTGACAAAATGCTTATCTTACAACGTGAATGAACCTCCAAAACCCTACGCTAAGTGCGAGGAGCCAGACACAGAAGCCTGCAAATTTTAGGATGCCATTGATATGAAATTTCCAGAAAAAGCAGAACTCTGGGGAGAGAAATCAGATTGGCAGCTGCCTAGGGCTGGGGCGGGAGCAGAGATGACCGCAAATGGGGGTGGGAAACTTTGGGGGGCTGATGGCAGAGCTCTAAGGGGCACACTAACATTACACGGAGCACTTGGAGGGGCTGAGCCTTATGGGACGTGAGGTATACCGCAGGAAGCTGCTAAACACTTATCCTGGGTAATTTTCTATATTTTCAACAAACAAGAATGGTTCTTGTAATAGGAATAAAAATGAAAAAAATATTGCAGCCTTTCTTTTCCCTCCATATAAGTGTCTTGCTTTGTGACTCAAGCAGCAGGAAGTCCTAGCCTGCTACCTTTTCCATGCAAGTATCCAAATGTTTAATTAAAAGCAAAGTGGTATTTCTGGAGACTAAAGACTATGACTCTACAGTCGCCCACCCGCCCCCCCAAGTCCTCCATTTTTATAACATGTGTCAGTGTGAGAACACTTCAGGATCACGACGCGTGCCACACGCTGGGCTACCACACACGCGCTTTTACTGCGCCGGCTGCAAAAGGCAAGGAAATTTAAATGACTTTAAACAAAATAATAACATTCTAAGCAGTAGGACCTGAAAAGTCACATCATCTGCTTCTAAATTTCTTGTGCCGTGGTGAGAGAAGACAGTCTATAAATGTGCAGCTTTAGGTTTTTGTTCAAATTCTTGTTGTGTTCTAACATAGGAGCAATTTTCACGGATCTGTCTAGGATACAGAAAAAGAAGAATCCTCTGTATACTTACTATGTGTATGAATCACATCCACCTGCATAATTACATACAAGCATATCCTGCATTAAATCCATCACAGATATTAAATATGTCTATGAAAGCCAGCTTTCTAATAGCCTTGTTCCAGGTTCTCATCTCCTTCCCATACCTTCTCGCTCGGACAGATGCTGAGGTCAATGTCTCACACTATGACTGAGTGTGATTCCACACTGCTTTGTACTCACTGGCTTTTGCTGTAGTATTCAGAGGCTGTGTTAGTTACACAACTGCGGATGGGTTGTATCTTCTCAACAAATGATACATCCATACTATTTGCCTTGAATTGTACTTGGAATCTTTTTTTCTTTTTATACTGACTTGTCTGTTCTATCTTTGCCCATGGCTTCCTTTTCACTCTTTCTGTGTCATCTCATTTTAGTTCTTTTATAAGAGCATAGAGTATGTTTTGCCTTCTTCTTCTTTTTCTTTTTTTTTTTTTTTACCCAATCTGAGAATCTTTTAATAGAATTGCCAGATAGCAAAGTGGGAATGAATCATGTTTGAAAATATTCCTATAATATTACGTTTTCTGCTTATTATTCCTATTGCTTCATTTTTACTTTTTTCCATTCCTGAACTTTCCCCAAATGGGCCCCAATTCCCTTTTCCCCCCTTCAGTGACTTAGAAATTCTGTAGCCTGTTTTTATGCGATCTATTAACCTGACACACGAAGCAAGCCTATTTCGGCCTACACTTATCTATCAATAACACAAGTGGAACAAAATTGACAATCTTCCCCAAGTAAGAGAGCTGCTTTCATACCCTTCACCTTCTTCATTTCCCTACCTCCCTAGTTTTATTGAAATAATAAGAATATTAGTTCTAAAATAGGATTCCTCCTCTGTTTCAAGCATCCCTTCTTCACAAGTGCTGTGTGTACAGTCACACTGTCACTAAGTCCTCAGACGTATCAGTTTTGCTGGTTTACTGTGCACTGCTCTGTGAACTCTGGCTTGAACTACTTCATTATTTCTTTAATTCCTTAATTATTTTTCATCGTCTTTTTTTTTTTATTTGGTGAATACTTCTTGAGACTATTGCTTTTTCATAGGTAGATGCTCTTAAGGTAGCAAAATGTTACTCTCTCTGGAGGCTCAGTGAAAATGTAAAGTAGAACTTTTCAGGTTATTTTGTATTTCCTGCATCAATCCCATTTTAGCCAAGGCCAGCTGCTACCAAGCTCTGCTATCCAATGGTTATTTAAACTTAAATTAATCGAACTTACATAAAATCAGAAATCCAGTTCCTGAGTCACACTGGCTACCTTTTTGGCTCTGGAGACCACCAGTGGCTACCATAATGGGCAGTACAGACAGAGAACATTTCCTTTGCTGCAGAGAGCTCCAGTGAACGGCAAGGATTTTCAGAGTCTGGTAACTTATTATTTTGTTTACATTTATAAATATTGTCCTAGATTGCTTAGTATTGACATGCGGTATGTCCAAATCCAGCCGGCTACCTGTCTGCGTAAAGAAAGATTTACTAACACATCGCCACACTCGCTCATTCGTTATTATCTAAGGATGCCTTTGTGTTAGAAAGGCAGATTCAATCGTCATGACAGTCTATATGGCCCACAAAGCCTAAAATATTTACTATTTGGCCCTTTCCAGAAACATGTTGCTAATCTCCTAACAAGTTCTTCGATTTCCTTGGCAGGCCTCCCCCAACCTGCAGTGATGGGCAGGCACGTAGTGAGGCCCGCACCCCACCTTCTTCTCTCTGTGCCAACAGCAGAGGCAGCAGGAAGGGGATCCTGGGACGAAGAGGAGCAGCTCCGCAATTGGCCCTCTCCCTGCGAACGCTGGCCAGGACAGGAGCTCTCCAGGCCCCTCCTTCCCGTGGCATTTCTCTAGACCTGTACCCTACTGAATTTCTCATGGGACATTTTCCCCTGCCACATTGGGCTGTAGAGGGACGAGGACAGAGAGCGAGTCAAACTCATCCTCTTTGACTGCTCTCTGGTCCTCCCCTGCGTAGTATATTTTATTTAATGGAATTTGCCAGCTTAATAGCTTAACCTCCAGTTTACTGCAGTCTATCCTCTCATAGTCTATTGCAAATTTAATGTCCCAACAGGATTCTGGAGCTCCTAGGTGTATGAGAAAGACAATTATCTGCTTCAGGGATATTTCCCTGCACCTCAAGAGCCCTATGCCGCATACACCTTAACGGTGGCCAGATGACAGCTGTGCTCATCAGATCACTTAGGTCATTCAAATTCTAGTCACAGGTCTCCTGTTCTAGCAGTGACTGGGCGGTGACTCTGTTAAACTCTCCGTTTCCCCGGACATGGGAGGGAAGCAGGAGACCACCGGAGGGCCCCAAGTGAGCTCCAAGGAGCTGGTGTGAAGAGGGAAGGCTTTGCTGAGCCCCAGGTCACTGGTGTTCAGGCCCCATTCAAACAACATTTGAGCCGCTGAATGAAAACGTGGCCCACAAAGAAGATACTCCAACATTCTTCCGTGTAAGACTGCACCTCTAACCCTCTGCTGGCGAGCAAATCGCACGGCCCGGGAAACGGGCCGTAAAGACGGAGGGGGCAACGACGGACGGCCCGGTCTCTACGGGCTTACCTTGTCTGCGCTTACCTGTATCTCGTCCATGGGCTGTGAGCATTCCGCGCGCTCTGCGCTATCACGGTAGGGCCCCATCTCTGAATCCACCACCTCTCTGTTAGCCATCATCAGGACACTCGTGGGTCCCCGAGGACGCACCTGTGAAGGTGCTGCATCCTCTCCTACACTGGTCCCCTTCGGATTTCCAGTCACCTGTACTGTAGACACACCAATGTAAAGACCTTTGGAATTCCACTTTACTACAGGCTGAGATCCAGAGGCTTGGAATCCTGCAGTCTCTGGAGTGGGAGGGGAGGTTTCCCGGATGCAGTCCCTCACTCCTTCACTGGGGCTGATTGTCTCGGGGACACACTGCTTAGAACTAGGGCTCTGCTTCCTGATATTTGGCTGTTCCAGACTCAGTGCAGTGGACAGCAGCTTCTCCTGCCTTGCCTGGAAGTACTCAGGGTTCAATTTATGCTTTTTGGGAGCTGGATAATCTTTGTGGCTCTCACTGCTGTAGTAATTAGAGGGTTCAGAACGAGGTCTTCTCAGCTCTGAAAAGTACAGTAGAAAGGATAGTCAGGACAAGCGATAAAATTAGGAATCTTAAAGAATTAACACTTTCTCTATGCCTGAGAGACACAAAGTGCAAAGTCGGAACTCAAGACATGTCCCTAACACTTAAATATTCCCCAAAAGAATATACTAGATTCAAATAGTCCTCCTCTAAAATTTCTATTTCTTTCTTGAACGGACACAGATTTTTTTTTTTTTTTTTTTTTGCTACTTTCTGCATTTATTTTTGGGAAGGGAAGGGGGAGCAGTAGGCACTCTTAGAGCTAAAAGAAAAATTGAAAACATAAAAAACAAAAACAGAAAACCAAAAACCAAACCCTTAAATGTACGTGAATATCCTATAGATTTTCTGAGGGTAGCTGCATGAAAGCGAAGGGGAAATCTGTCAAGGTCTGAGACGTAATAATTTTGAATGTTTACCTGGATTGGTACTTGCAATAACAGTGACTCCTTTGGGTATTTCTGGAGAGCTGATGGCGTCGCTGTGCCACTGGGTCATCCAGCTCTCCGTGCTGGGCTCCTCGCTTGGAGGACAGTGCATTCTGGGGTTCTGCCCCAGCTGTGCCTGTTCATCTCTCTGCAGGTGCTCCAGACACTCTGCTAATTTCACATGACCCCTTGACCTGGCAATCCCCAAAGGCAGCCTTCCTAGAGAGTCAGGGATAGAGATGGCCCGACGGTCCCACTTGTACAGAACGACGGCAGCTTCTAAGTGCCCTAGAGCACATGCCCACATCTAAAAAACAGCAAAACAGAAAGCAAGTTTTCTCAGTACAAGTTAAAAAAGATATTCTGTTTTCACTATTGCTACCAAGTGACAAACCGGTCCTTGCTGGCAATCTCAGCAGGGCCGTAAAACGTCACCATATCCCTATGTCGGTTAAAAAGAGTTCAGGAACAAATGAACCTATTCCTTACCAGAGGGGTACAGGAGAAGTGGTCCACATTCAAGGGGTCAACTTCCAGTTCCAAATCAATGCTATCTGCATGCTTTGTGCTGTAAAAGATAACGCCAGAAATTACTGCACAATTAATCATGTTCAAGAAAGACACCAGAACCTTATAAAACCCACAAAGATGAAACCATAGTGGGCACTTAGCATCCCTGATGTGAGGAAACAGAGCCCCTGATTTCATAGCATGGTTTGGACCAGCAGTCCGGAGGAAACAGAAGTGCAACCTTGAGTTAGTACCGCAGGCCCACATTTCTTGGGCAGAAGTTCCTAAAATTCCCTGGGGAACTGTCCTCAGAGAAAGCCCTCTGCCATGGTCGTGCTCGCTGACTGGCAGGATCTCTCTCTCCCAGGGAAAACGCTAAGGAGGACGCAGCAAGGGGACGGGCCGGGACCGGCAGGGATGAGCCCCAGCTGCACACGGCCCAGCCTTACCGCCACTTGATGAGGGTCTGGATGAGGGTGGCGTAGCCCTGCGCGGCAGCCAGGTGCAAGAGCGTCATCCCACGGAAGGTCTTCGAATGGATCAAGTGCTTGGACTTGGCCCAGCAGGCTCGGCTCATCATCTTCTCACACACGACCACCACACGGTTCTCGAAGCAGCTCCCCAGTGTCCCAGGGCCAGAAGCGCACTAGGAGGAGGAAGTGCGCGTTAACGACTAAAGACCAAGGGCCTCTCCTGGCCAAGTCAGCCTCTTCATGCAGGAGAAACAAATGCTTTACGACCAGCCGCCCACGCTGGGAAGCAGCAAAGGGCACATAAAGAGGCACCGTGGAACGGAGACTAGCATGTGCTCGGTTCAGCTCAGTAGCACATGGCCACGCTCATGGCATAGGGTAATTTTCCATCACTCTGAGAACACCAGAGTCTGTCTACCACAGCTGACACTCTGATCATGAACATCATGCTGCTCCATCTCGGGGAAAGCAAATCTGACAGAAAAAAAAAAAGAAAAGGTGCCACCAGCCTCCAGTTGAAGTTCATGGTGTAGACCGTGGACTAGTAGGAAAGCAAGGCAGGGTAGCTGTCCCGGTTCTTGCCTCTGGGGATACACCTGGACCTCTGCCTCCCTGGCTCCTCCTTAAGGAGAATTAAGTCACTCAGAAGGGGATTTTTTTCCCCCAAAGAAACATTTTTAAAAATCCATTAATGATCCCATCCTTTGGGGAAAGCATTAGAGATCCTGAAATTTAAGGGTTATTAATAACAATAGAGGCACACAGGAAAGAGAAATTCATGAATTTCAACTGTGGCTTTCTTCTCTCGACTCAGTTGTAAAGCAAGAAAAATAAAATCAAACTCAGTCCCCTCAACAGTTTGTCTGAGTCTCTGTGATGGCAGCTCTCTGCTGAACCTTCCCCCCCATATAAATGATACTTCTAGCCTGATTCTCACCTCTGGAGTTATTTAAAAAGTGTCCCCCTGCAACCCCAGTAAGAAAGCCTACAAAATTCAATTACTACAGAAATATTGTTGCTTCTCATTGTTTTGTTGTTGTTGTTGTTGTTTTACTTTTAGGTCTGGGGGGGAAACGCCTACAAAAACGAAAAGGCAGATAATAGATATACTGTCATCCTCGCTTGGGCTGTCAAAATATCTTAAAAGAGCTCAGGTGGGTGAGCCTGACCCGCAGTACAATGATCTTGCCTCAAAAGGCCCAGGCAGAGCCACCCAACACGTACCAGACACCTTTATAAGCACAGGGAAGTTACGGGTCAGTGAGCGAGGAGGAAATTTTTTTTTTCTTTTGCATTAACAAAAACAGCCGCATCTTTATCATGAAAGGTGGACACAGGTATGTTATTGAAGCCAACCTAGACTGACGGAAGGGTCTTTCAGAGCAGTTAATATGGGCGCAGGTCTACTAGGCCAGTTACTGAAGGGTAAGTTGCTAAGAAGACATTACCACGCAACCGTTGTTGGTGAAAGGAAAAGGTTTTCATGGGAAGCTCTTATCTGAGTCACGAGATATGCCAAAGAATGATTATTTCTTTCTTAAAATTTAGGAGTACAGGTGAAAAAGAAGCCTACAGTAGCCTTGATGATACTTTACTGTGTGCCAAGTCCTTCCTTTTCATTTCTAAAGAGGGGCGAGAAAGAAGAAAACTCAAGGAAAAAGAGATTAGTTTCTTGGATGTGGTCTATTAGATTAAAATTAGAATTAAATTTTAAATCTAAATTTAAAATTTAGAGGAAAACATCATTCATCTTGATGAAAAAAAGGATGGTGATCTGAAGTTTGCAGGGAATAACTCAGTAGTAGAGATAGGAACACTCTCTATTCCCTTAAATTTGTCTCCAGGGTCTCTTGAAAAATAATTTCTGCCCAGAAATTTCTCAAATGAATGAGATCCTAAAATGAAGATCCTAAATGCACTTTATTTTCTCAAAATGAAGATCCTCAACAAAATTTCTATAAGCCTTCTAAGACTAATGGGGCTCTAAAAAAATATCTAGTAATTTCCCTATATTTGGCAAATTCTTCTTGGAAGCTATGAAAAAGCATATGTGAAACAGGATAGAATGGATAATGCTGTTCCAACAAATAATTACAGAGACAGTTTCTCTGGGTCCTCATGTTGGTCTCTTGAGTTTATAGAAGGTTTCTGAATTACTGAATTCAATTATGTTTCGTATTTATACTTAACATAAATACGGAATACGGAATAGAGAATAGATTCCGACTGAACTCTGGGTCACCACCAGGCCTACTTCTTCCCTGGATCCCTCAACTCCCACTGCCTGGCGGCAGCGGTGAATTCTGAGATCAACAGCAGTGATTTAAGGCTCCAGGAGGTCAACACCTGGGAAGGTCCACAGTTCGAGGCTTCTTTGCTATTACACAGATCTTAATATTTCGGGGCACAGGATTGTGAAGCACTCTCTGGGACGAGCCCAGGAATGATACCAGACAGAGGACTTGCGACCCACTGCTTCCCTGATCAGTAAGACACACACGAGATGAGAGGTGATGGTCAATGCAGGCTGGTACCTGAGCTTGGCTTCCTCCGTTCCCAGTCCCGTTGCCCCCTCCACTGCTGCCTCCTCCGCTCCCCTGCTTGTGCTGCTGGGACCCCGTCATCTCAGCCATTCTCCTTTCCATCTGCTCCAGGCGCTCTAGGATGGACATCCTGAACTGGTTATCTAGGGCAGAACAGAGAGGAGTGAGGTTGTGCTCCTGAAGAGGAGCAGTCGACGTGGGGGCCTAGGCAAGCCTGCAGGACTACCGTCAGCCTAACGCGGCCACAGAGGTCTGCCCCGGCCAGACTTCGACACCGGACTCAGCCCGACACCTCCCACAAGACTTGCGGTGTCTACAGCAGCTCAGAGCTCTCTGCTAAAGGAAAAGAAAATCCCTTTCTGTTAAAGTCCTGGTTTCACGTCCCTGCTACCCCATTTCCTTGCCAAATTCCCAGTGGGAGCCTTGGAGAGATCTGATAGGTAAGCCCCCAGAACAAATAAATGAAACGAGTACAGTTTAATTTAAATCAGTGGAAGAAAGGTAGATGTGTGTGTGTGTCAGTATGTATAAACAGTGTGTCTAAATAAATTATATATACACGTATTTTTTAAGAGTATTATCTGTTTAACCCAAACACAGGAAAAAAAGATTTTGTTGGTCATTCACTGGCTGAGACCCTCACACATTTCCTTTAACACGTGACAGTCTTTTAAGACTGATACAACCAAATGTTCTACCTTTACACAGGAGAAACACCAGGCCATTCCTGCTGCGCCTAGGACTGTAACTCGAAGAAGTCTGTGCTTCTGTACCATACTGCTAAGATTAGACTCTCTCTCTCTCCACATTCATACATTTACACCCACATACATGTGCATACACACATGCATATCACGATTTGGGCTGCATGCATACATAAGAAAAGGAGCTAAGACCATTATGAAAGCCATTAGCGCCTCTATTTATTCAACAAATTCTAAATAATGCTGTGTCAGGTATTTAGTAGTAAACCCATCAGAAAACGCCTCCTCCTGCTCCAGTAGGGGATGCAAGTAGGATAACATGAGGAGGAACTACAGGGTGGAGCTAGAACTCAGATAAGTCAGGAAAGGCCACACTTGAGTTTGACCAGAACCAAAAGGAGCCAGGTCTGCAAGAGCTGTGTGAGTTACTAGCAGATGCAAAGGCCCTGAGGCAAGGTATTCAAGAAGCAGAAGGCAGGGGGTCAGACCACAGCAGAGAAGAGCAGGGGGTAGACCTGGAGAGGGGGCCCTGACCAGACAGTACACAGTTAAGAACCCTGGCTATGCCACAGAAGAGTTGCGTAGCTTTGAACAAAACCTTTAGTGCCTCAGTTTCCTCAACTCTTCATTGGGGATAGTAACTATACTTACATCAGGGCTGTTGTGAGGACTGAGTGTGTGCAAATGCGCAGAACACGTCAGTTCCATGTCGTCATCATCTTCTGACAAGGGAGTCAACTGTCTTGAGGAATTGACTAAGCAGCGGGGACAACCTATTTGGCCCCAAATGGTTCATGGCACAACTGTTTTCAAATATAACCACCTGAATCACGGAAAGGAAGGACTCAGGACAGGAGTATTTTATCAGCACACCTGGCCAGCCTGACTGTAAATCCCAACACCGGTGAGTAATTCTATAAGAAATAAACCAATGGGCAGGGCCAACACTTACGGAAAGTTTCCCGTGTGCCAGTCACCGTTTTGATCGTTTTACAAATATTAACCCATGTACTTACTCTCCATAAGAATCATGAGGTAGGTACTGTTCTCACCCTCTTTTCACAGAGGAGGAAACTGAGGCATAAGACAACTAATCTCTCTGGGGCTGAAGCATGGAGCTTAACTCCTACATGACACCAACAGGAGGGAGAGGTAGTGGGAAAAGACGAGCAGAATTAGTGTTATCCTGGGAAAGAGAAGTTTTTCTTACAATAACACGACAGTAAATACCTGTTTCACGGTAAGATTTTTGAGACTGCTGTCCAATGGATTCCACTTTACTAAACCACAAAGCCAGAGGAGGAAGACTGCTTTTTAAAGATCATGATATTATCTTCTAATAAAGCTATTTCCAGGAACAACACTGAAAGAAAAATCCTCCCCCTTTAAAAGTGAAAGAGAACGTCTCCGTGCCCATTGCACACATATACACGGATACGACAAACACCGAGGCCCCTGTGCTGAGCATCTCTGTGGCCGGTCACCTGCAGGAAGTACCGAGTCTGCGTATGATGCACCATGCATGGTCCTTGCCATCACGCGACCCTCCCGCCTTCAGGGCATGGTACCAGAATCCTTATTCCATGCCTTCTCCCTTAGGAAAGGGACACTTTGCAGAATGCAGGACTCCTTTATGTGGAGCCAAATAAAGACTAAGAATCCTCCCTGTTAATTAGTGTGACTCCCAGTTGAATGGCAGGGTTGCCTCGTGGCCCTTGTCCCTGCTTCTTCCCATAATGCCATGCATCTACTCACAGACACTCATGCAGCCCACTGAGAAGGGGGAGCTGCTCTAGCTGCCTACTGATGATTTCTTCTGCAGACCCCGAACCCAGCACCCACCAGACAAGTGTTCAGAACCCATTTCGCTGGTTTCGAGCACTTGTTTGGAGCACAGGGGCCGGTATTAACCTTCCGTGTCATGCACAGGGGCAGAAGGGCAGAGAGAGCAGTGTCCGGCTGTGCTCTGCCTCAGCGGGGTGCTGTGGGGCACCTGGCCCACCACCTGGCCCGGGGAGATGGCTCTGTCCCAGCAGGCGCCCTGTCGCAGTGAGGAAGGCCTCTCGTGCCTGCCCGCAGACACCGCAGAGACAGACCCTCCCTGACATGGGAAGGCCCCGCCTATGGTGTCTCCAGATCAAAACACGAAGAGTTCCAGCCCCGTGACTGCCACCGAGGTCCTGGCTTCTGTTCTGGGCTGTTCAGCACCGTCCCCACGGCAAACCGTGCACTTGGCTCTCTCACATGATTAAGCTGCTCTGAGAAGCACTTTATGAAGCACTTTATGAAGACACTCAGAAGCAATTATTTGCCTCTTAACAAAATTATATCACGCATAATGGGATCTCTGAGCCTCTCAATTCCAAAGGGGGAAGGTAGTGATAATTAAAATAAGAAACAACCTCAAATGGGAATGACCAAGCGGGCTTCCGGTAGCATACAGGCCTGCTGTACCATGTTGACTGAGAATCACCAGAGCTTTCTGATCCCACTTCCTCTCCTCTGAGCGCGGCCAGGGCCCTGCTCTGTCCACAGAGCTGACTCAGAGGGACGAAGTGAGGGTCTTCACGTCTCTGTTCCTAGCCAGTCAAAAGCAACGACTGTAGGCTTGTTTTGGTTTTACAGTCTGACGATGGTGCGGAAACTGTTGTAAAATACTTGGCACAGGCAGAGCCTCCATTGTATATTATGTATGGTCATGGGATAAAGGGAATATAATTACTGAGAAGCAAAAAAAATTTTTCTGATGACAAAGTAAAAAAGCAGATTTCAGATTCATTTACTCATGCACAAATGTTTATCAAGCACCTACTACGTGTCAAGCACTGGGGATGACTTGGACACTAGTGAAGATGTTCTTGCCCCCATTAGCTGGCCAAAAAATAATTTCTGCAGCCTCAATAAACTGAATTTTTGAATTAATATGTAGGAGGGAGGGGGGAGAAGAGAGAAAACAAATAATGTGTAGACCTAGGGGGCTGATAAACTTGGCCTCAGCGCTCACCTGTGACATTTCAAACAAAGCCAACAGTGACTCAGCTTTGAGGGATTCCAAGCCCTGTGTCCTTAGGACAGTGTGAGTGAGCAACCGAACTACTCCCCCATGGGCACTGGACTGCACAAAACTGTACCAGGAGGACCTGCTTCCATGAGCACCTTACACTCCTGATGCCCAAGCAAGAGAAGCCAGCTGTTCCAGCCCGAGCTCCCGCCTGGCCGTCCCCAGCTTTCCATTCCTGTCTAGAAGGATTAGGGCTCTGTCTCACCACACAACAAGATGCTGCTTCCACAGAAAGGTTCTCCCACTCTTCCCCTTCCCCTCCTGGCTCTGAAGACAGGGCCCAGGTGAGGGCCAAGCACTGGTCCACTTCTCCTGGAGCAGAAGCTCCGGGCATGTGTGTGGACATCTCTCCTGTGGCTGAGTGTCCACGGGCTCTAGCCACCGTGCTCGTCCCTCGCTGCCGACAGAGGCCGCCCTCACAGGAGGCTTCCCCTCCTCGGCGGCTCTCACATGCTAGGTGGCATCCGAATCACCAGACCGATGGGGTGGGCTCTAGTCCTAGGGTTAGTTGGTTTTCCCTAGGATGTGTGGGTGAGGCCCAGAGGTTTGCACTTCTAGCAAGTTCTCAGATGATGCTGATGCTACTGGTCTGGGGCCACATTCAGGAGCCACAGCTCTAAGACCCCACGTCCCTCCACCAGAATGAATCCTCTCTCCACCTGAGTACTCGTGAAGGAATGGTCCAAGAATTGCCCACTTGAGCAGATGCGCGGGTTGCTGCCCAGCATGGACGCACGAGATGCGACCTCAAGGAAACCATGTCAGCTCCGTCCACACTGGCTCTGTCAACAACACCAGGTTGCATACTTTCTTCTCATGTACACAGCCAATTAAGATCAGACAAAACTTGAAAACTATTTAAAATCCGCCCCCCCGCACCGCTGTCTGTAACGAATCAGACGCTACTTGATTCACTCCCATCAAATCTTACCTCCGCATTGCTCACTTCTCTCAGCTGACCAGCTGGGGCTTTGTGTCTTGTCTTTGTGTCTTGCTTGTCTCTGCAGTGATCTATTCACCTGCGTGGTTTCAGGGAACAAGGGCATTCGACCACCACACAGCAATTCCTTCCCACAACATTCAAGACCCACACACACACGTGCCTGTGCCCCAGACGGAAAGTAAATAATCCTAATCGCTCTGCAGCAGCAGTCTGGCTAGCAATACAGTTGGCCTCTTCCTGAGCCCATTCTGTGTCCCCTTTTGAGCAGAAGTGGCATTTTTAGACTGGGCAGCTGTGATGGAGTGGAAGGAGCATGGAAGTAGAGACGACAGCTCTACATTTAATCCTGTTGCTTCATGATTTTATTTTTTATTTTTTTAAAGATTTTATTTATTTATTTGACAGAGAGAGATTACAAGCAGGCAGAGAGGCAGG